TTTCTGTCTATTCTGATTCAGACAGTAGGATAGTGTATTATTCTTTTGTGTATATTCTACTAGTCGCCCGTAGCTTGTGACACCAGGTTCTGGCACACACAGTAGTAGACATTTTAGTTTTGGGTTGTATCGCTTATTTAGCACTTTATGATCTTTACTGGTCTTATACTTTAAATACCAAAAATCTAGTATAACTGTCTTGGCTAAAGTAAATGAGAACTTAATCACATTCCGCATCGGCTCGGCCTGACAACGGTGTTAGGCGCCATTATGACCTATTAGTAGGAAAAGTGGGTCGTGACTTGAACCAGTTCCAACGTCTTAGACGTGCTTACCATTTTCTTGGATTTGAAGGATGACCTTACCTGCTTCCCCCTTGCACATGCCTCACAAACTTTGTCTTCCTTGAACTTGATATTAGGTAAACCTACAACCAAGTCCTTGGAGACTAATTTATTTAGCTGATTTAGACTGGCATGGCCAAGTCTTTTGTGCCGTAGGAGGGGATCATTAACGAACACACTTAAGCAAGTGAGTTCATTTTCTGAAAGAGTTGACAAATCTACAATGTAAATATTGTTAACTCTTTTTCCCTGCAAAACAATCTTGTCAGTGGTAAGGTTAATCACAAAGCATTTGGTGGAGGTAAAAGCCACAAGGTTACCTCTGTCACACAATTGTGACACACTTATTAAACTGTATTTCAAGCCATCTATCAGGTAGACATTCTCTATGGAATGAGAATCAGTCTTGCCTACCTTTCCAACCCCAATGATCTCACCTTTCTTTCCATTAGCAAAGGAGACATTACCTCCTTTTAAGTCCTCAAGTGAAAGGAACCGGTCCTTGTCCCCAGTCATATGTTTTGAGCAGCCACTATCCATGTACCATATTTGGCTCCTCCCTTTCACTTGGACCTGCAAAAGGAAATCAGGGGTTAGACTTAGGAACCCAAACTTGTTTGGGTCCCTTTCTATAAGCAAAAGGATGAATTAAATTCCTTCTTGCCCATCCTGGCAACTTATTCTTTTCTTTAACAAAAACTTTGTTCTTTTGACTGGCCATTTCTTTTGCATTACATTCATATTTGTAATGGCCAGTCTTACCACAGTGTGTGCAGATTTTATTTTCAGGAAGAGTGAGGTACTTGCTTTTTGGATCCCATTTAGGAGCTTGAGTCCCATAGCCAAGTCCTCTTTTGTTACTGCTGTGATGCTCTTGCAACCAGGAGAGAGCATCAGAGGCTTTGTTCCACTTGCAAGTTCTGTCTAGTTCATGTTTTACCTTCCCTAGATCTTCTTTTAAAACTTTGATGAATTCATCTTTCCTGTACAATTCATCTTTCATTTTTCCCAAGTTTTCTTCTAGAGTGAGATATGTGTGATCAGCTATTTTCTTTCCTGTTCCTAATTTCAGTTTCAGATTTTCAGACCTAAGTTCTAGGACACTGTTGTCAAGTTCAAGAACCTGGTT